GTGACCTGAAGGTGGCGCTGTAAGAGTCAAGTGAATGTTTCATGTCGTCGATGACATCACTGAAATATATTTGATTTGAAATGTCATAAACTGAATCTTTAGTCCAGATGTCACAGATGTTACTTTACTCAATTATTAATTATAGATTGGAATGATTTAATGTCTAAACTTCACAGCTGCAGCTGATGGAGAATAAACTAATTTTTATAACAAGTTCTAAAATAAACTTAAAATAATTCAAAATAACAGATCATGACTAATTTAAATATGATATAATAATATATCTTACATTTAAATATAATAATATATCTTACATTTAAATATAATATAATAATATATCTTACATTTAAATATAATAATATCTTACATTTAAATATAAACATATTTTCTTTAAAATCATAATAAACTGAACTGTGAAGAGGAATGATCGTGATCACGACACACCGCAGCACAGTCACCGCACAGAGGCCCTGCCGTTGCAGTGAGTCACACACACGCACACGCGCACACACACACACACACACACACACACACACACACACACACACACACACACACACACACACACACACACACACACACACACACAGCTTTCACCTGCAGGCTTCACGTCAGCAGCAGCAGCTTAATCTCATCAGGAGCTTCTGACCCTGCTTGTTCAGAGTAAATCCGCCCCGGGTCCGGGTCACGGTTTATTACAGGTGTGTATTACAGGTGTGTGTTATCAAAGGGGTTATAACGCACAAACAGACACGCACAGTCTTACCGCTTGAACATCGCCTCCATGTCCTTGATCTGTTTGCGGGAGAACTCCTTGAATTCGGTGTACGGGTTGAACACTCGGCTCGGTCGTGGAGCGGCGTTTCCCTGGTTGATGTCCAGCCTGCGGTTCAGTATGGCGGACAGCTCGGAGGCGGATTCCCCGCAGGCAGCATCGGGCTCCTGCGGTCTGGATCGTTGCGGGCTGAGTGCGGGCTCCGGCCTCGGCTCCGCATCCTCCTGCGTGACCACCAGCCGCGACTGCAGCTTGTGTGCGAGCTCCTCCGCTGCCATGCTGAGGGTCCTGCTTCTGCTGCTGACGATCTTGCGCTTCTACTGAGGGTCCTGCTGCTGCTGCTGATGATGATGATCTTGCGCTGCTGCTGAGGCTGTCCGCGGGAATGGAGGCTGACAGCAGCTTCAAGCACCACTGACAACCCGCCTGCGTGACGTCAGCCGGGCTGCGTCACGCGTCACAGCGCCTTCGTGATGTCAGCCAGCCTCTGCGTGACCCGTCACACCCCCTGCGTGCTGCTGACAAGCGACAAGAGTTTGTTTCCGGCCACATTCAGAATAAGACATAGCCTAGAGAGTTATGTTAAGTTTCCACATCTGTGATTATGTTTGTGCCAATAATAAGTTATATTACCTTCTAAAATAAGGTGACATGTTGAGGAAATACAGTTTTGTAAAACCTTTTGATTATTTACAAGTTTAAAAATGATAAATTATCCTGTTAAACTCGAGAGGAACAGTAATGCTTTTAACAGATGATTCAAGCTCATGCTCACATGAATTGAAAGTTCACCTGCATATTTGACTCTGGATATATTACTGTTCTTATTAATGTAATATTTCACATTTTATTATATTAGTCATTTTCTCTTCATTGTTTCTCCCTGTCTTATTGCTTTTCTTCATATCTTTAATTGTTTCCTTTCAAAAGCCTCTGAGATCTCACTGTAGCGGTCAGATGTTCAATGGAAAGCTGCCACCAGGTGGAGACGGAGAGCGTACTGTAGCGGTCATATGTCCAAAAGCTGCCACCAGGGGGAGACGCTTGCGCAATGTCAGCACGGCCCCCTGCTTGCTGCTGACAAGCGACAATAATGTGTTTTCGGCCACATGTTTAACCAAATTTTATTTCTGTATTAAAATATAAAATTTAATTTTCAAGCAATATGCTAATTTTCAAAATAAAGTCAGTATAAAATTGAAGATACAGTTTTTATGCCCTTACCCTTATTATTAAAAGTGTGGAAAACAACCTGCAGTGTCCCTGTTCCCAAAAAGAGACACCCAACTAACTTCAATGACTACCGGCCAGTTGCTCTCATGTAATGAAGTCCCTGGAGAGGCTGGTCCTCAGCTCCATCAGGTCCATGGTGACTCCATACATCGATCCTCTTCAGTTTACATGTCAGCCTAACATCGGTGTGGATGATGCCCTCATCTACATGCTGCAGAGAGCCCATGCACATCTGACGCAATTGTAAGGATCATGTTTTTGACTTTTCGAGTGCCTTCAATACGATACAGCCAAGGCTTCTTGGTGAAAAGACGAGGAAGATGCAGGTGAGGTCAGAAATCATCTCCTGGGTTATAGATTATATTTCCTGCCGACCACAGTATATGCATCATCAAAACTGTGTCTCTGGAAGAGTCCTGTGTAGTACAGGGGCCCCACAAGGCACCGGGTTGTCTCCGTTCCTGTTTGCTCTTTACACGTCCGACTTCCAATACAGCTGTACAAGAAGGGACAAAGCCGGCTTTATTTTTTGAGACACTGAGGTCTTTTAACATCAGTAGGCCTCTCCTGTGCACCTTTTATCAGACAGTTGTTGCTAGTGCTTTGTTCTTTGGTGTGCTGGGGAGAGGGAGCTCGCACAGCAGACAAAAACAGAAACAACAAGCTGATTAGGAAGGCCACCTCCATCACTGGGACTGAAATGGAAACCCTTCAGAAGGTCACAGAGGCAAGAGTGCTCTCAAAACTCAAGTCCATTCTTGGAAATCCTGCACACCCACTACTCGATGTGATTCCACAGAGCACGTTCAGTCACAGGCTGATCACCCTGAGGTGCAGAACTGAACGCTACAGGAAGTCATTTTTCTTAACTGCCATCAGACTGTTTAATGGAGAATAACGCACGATGAATACATGTACCCATATTTACTCATATTTATTTATATTTATTAATGTATGAATACACTTACTCAGATTTCTGCACACTGGATACTTTTGTACACTAGAGGTTAATTACATTTGTAGGATATATTTTATTTATAACTCAGAAGTTTTAGTCTAGTTTTTTTTAAATAACTGATCTTGTGATTTCAGTTGCTGCTGTGACAATGTAATTTCCTGCAAAGGGTTAATAAAGTACCTACCTATTTATTAAAACTGCACTCAAACTGAAATTAACTCTTCTCATTAAAACTTTTTAGATCTACAAATAAAATCCTCCTTGATGTCTCAGCTCGTTATTCTTCTAGTTTTATTGTCACTCTAAAGACGAGAGTTATTTATTTTGATCCACTTCTGTAGAATAAATGTTAATCTTTTCCTCATCCAGCAGATGGTGCTAACACTCCATATTTAATAAACTTTATTTATTTATCACTGTTAAAAATATAAACACCAGAAAAAATGGAAGAATATGACACATAATTCAAAAGATAATTTTATTATTCATTAAAAATAACATTTACCAATATTCCCATTTGTCTTTAATATTATATAAACTTATTTTATCCTCATTTAAAGTTAAACTTTATTTTTATTATAAAACAGAATTTAAACATATATAAAGACAAAGTGAAGAAACATGATGATTTCATTACAGTTTTTTGTGATTACTATGGCACTTTTCAATACTTTTTGCTAAACTCTTTACACAGTTAGCACAACATCCGTCCCTGAAGGCTTTGCAATAAACACATTTCTTGTTGCTTTGACACAAAATGCATACATTTAACACATATTTAAATTGCTTGAATTTCTTTTACACACAAGCTCAACCAAGACCAAAACAATGGATTTTTACAGCCAAATTTACCAATGATTTCACACTATATGTCATAACAGATAACATCATGTTCTAAACCTAACCTATAGGCTAAAGTCTAAGTGAACAGCTGTTCATGTTGTAGATTGAAACACATATATATCCTCTGTATTTTTTTCCATTGCTACTGAGAAACAGCTGATTGAAGTTATGCAAAAAGATCAATCCCAGCTGATTCCCATAGGAACACACTCAGGGGTTGAAGTTCTTTCATTCGCATGCCCATATGTTATACAGTAAAAAAGGACATCTTTGGACTGACCTTGTGTGGAAAAGAAACAATATAGAGCAACACAAAGAAAGTAAATACAATGCCTGCACGAGAGAGAGGAAGACGAGTACCAGGACAAGGGAGAGCTAGACGAGTACCAGGACAAGAGAGAGGAAGACGAGTACCAGGACAAGGGAGAGGAAGATTCAAGATTTGTCACATGCTCAACAGATGTGCAGTGAAATGTAAAGACTGTTCCGCAAGGCCATAAAAGAAACACTCAAAAATTACTACAGTAATACACATACAGGAAATGTAAAAATATACTGTAAGATAAGCTCAAAAAAGAAAAGTATAAATATTCAAAATGTGGAAAATGCAAACATTGTAATGAGTAAAGTATCAGCGTATAAAGTGTCCAGGGTGTCAAAGTGCAGACGAGTACCAGGACATGGGAGAGGAATGGATGAGGACATGGTAGAGGGAGACGATTTAGAAAGCCTGGTGGCGCTCAAAGAAGGACCAGAGATAGGGTAACTGATTAAATAAGAGCTACTATCATAGACCATGTCATAAACCAGGTTATCATACAGAATGACTGGTGAACGAGTACAGCCAAATCTCAGCCGGGACACAGTGGCAGCCATTGTCTGGATTTTTCAAGAAACCAACTGGTAGGATATTATATAATGTCTTATCCTACTGCAAGTGTAAATCATTTTTACCTTGTATAACAGTTACTGTAAGCCTCCGGTTTCTAATATGTAACTGTATTTTGTCTCTCTAAGGATTCAACATCTACTTCCCTCAGAGGGCAGAGGAAAGCACCTACTGTTCTGTAAATGAAGAACAGGAACTTGCCAATTTCAACATAGTGATTGCTGACAATGAAATACAACCTTTACTGCAGCAATTCTGTCTCTTTCTTCTTCTTTTCATAAACCATGCATTCTATAAAGCTACTCTGATATATTTATTTACCATTTTGTACCTTTTGCACAATTTAGAATTTATTACTGTAAATATTCTTAATCTTATTTTTACCTCATTTTATTTGATCTATTTTACCTTATTTTGGTTGTATTGCACTGCGGGACGGAGACAAATGAAATTTCGATTCCACTGTATGTCTGGCATATTTTGAAATTGACAGTAAAGTTGACTTTGACTTTGAAAAACAAAAATATGGGTAATTCCTTTTTTGTTTTGAATTCCTGCAGCAAAAGAAACAAAATACATGCATTTACTTAACCCAACAAAACAGAAATGTAGAGAGGCTTCAAAGAAAATGCAGCGCTAAACACAATCTATGATCAGTACATTATACTGTCTATTGTATAAGGGCAGACCTGACACATGATAATGCAGTTTCTGTTATTCCATCTGATGTTAGTGTTTTTTATGACATTGTGCTATGATTGACTAAATGTTCCTGTTGAAAGTCAACATGTGTTAGTGTTTTGGAAGATTTTTTGATTTTAAGACATGCTTACAGTGTTTTAGTGGGTATAGTGTAATGTGTTTGTGTATTATTGTATTTTGAAAATGAGTGTTAGAGTTTAGTTTACAATGGGTGGTTTTGAGCATGAAATTAACTGTTTTGCCAATTTTGTGTTTAGAAAAATTGTTTTTGAAAAAATCTTCATAGCAATCGAAAAAAAATGTAATTATAATATATTAAATTATCATTATATCATTAAAGTTAAAGTTTTTATTTAAGTGGAAGAAAAAAGATAATTTAATGTGTATTTTCTGTAAATAGACAAAATAATTTAGATTGAATAATTTTAAATGTTTTTTATTTCAGTCTTTATTATTTAATATATATATTTTATAAATAATGTTTAACTAAATGGGGGCTTTAGAGAGCTTCTTACTCCGGCACGGCAAGGGGCGAAAGTCTTTCAACACGAGCTGACTACTTTTAAAGTAAACGAAGAAGAAGAAAGAGGTGACTTTTATTGTGAAGCGGTATTTCCGGGGTACAGTTTCTCAGCAGCGACCAACCTCAGCATAACATCTGACACAAATCTAACAGCTGATCAGATCAGATTTATTTTACCGACAGAAACCGTTAATAATTCAAACTACAGACGGAAGTAAAGTAAACGTTAATGACCGGAAACAGAGACCTACAGGAGACAGGACGCAGCGCGACAACACGTTAGTGTGTAAGTTTATGACTCTTTATTTTACTCTTATTTCTTACTTTAATAATCACCTGTTTGCACCTCTCCGCTCTTAGCTGGCAGGCTAACAGCTGTAGCATAGTTAGCTCATTCATACATTCTGTTCTGTTTATATATATAGCTCGAGGTCACTTGCTGTGACGTCATAATCAACATAATAAAATACTGTAAATAATATGTTTTTATTATAAATAATAACAAGCATAATAAAATACTGTAAATAATATGTTTTTATTATAAATAATAACAATCATAATAAAATACTGTAAATAATATGTTTTTATTATAAATAATAACAAGCATAATAAAATACTGTAAATAATAATATGTTTTATTATAAATGATAAAATAATAATAAAATACTGTAAATAATAATATGTTTTATTATAAATAATAACAATCATAATAAAATACTGTAAATAATAATATGTTTTTGTTATAAATAATACAAATAATAATAAAATACTGTAAATAATAATATGTTTTATTATAAATTATAAAAATAATAATAAAATACTGTAAATAATATTAATGTTTTTATTATAAATAATAACAATCATAAAATCAGGCTGTAACTGTGAATCATATTTTTTTATATTCTGTCTATTTGAAAACATTCAAAGTTTAATTATGATGTCAAAAGGGTGTCTGTCGGACTTTCTGTACCTTTAAATTGAGGGGAAACTCTTGAGGCTGGAAATGAAGTGTCACAAACTGCAGTTCCTTCAGTGTCCACTTGAGGCTGGCTTCAGCAGTGAGTCCATGTTAAAGCTTCACTGTATGAAACACGTTTCTGTTTTTTGACGTGATGTCTCCGGGGGTAGAGCAGTTACCACCACTACGACCCTCATCTCTTCACATTGTTCACCTTGCACCTTTTCAAGGCGCGATGTTTAGGGAGTAAAGAAAAACGAGCTGGTTAGAGTCAAATCTAATGAGGATGCACGAGGTGAACATGCACACATCCAAACATCTCTCCTCAGAGCGCACTCTCTCCACAAGCCGCCTTTAAGGGCCTTTAAGTTTGTATGCTAACTGTTTTCCACAGAGCGCCCCCTGACATCAAGAGACAGAACTGCAGGATGAGCTCACTGCAAAGGTAAGTTACCTGTTCCTGATGATCCTGAGACTCAGAGATCAGCTGACTAACAGATCTGTATGAACCTCACCTGAGCATGTTAACACTACACACATCTGGGACTCTAGATTATAGACGAGGTGACATCAAAGCTGTGACTCTAGTTTATAGACAAGGTGATATAGAAGCTGTGACTTTAGATTATAGACAAGGTGACATAGAAGCTGTGACTCTAGTTTATAGACAAGGTGACAGAAGCTGTGACTCTAGATTATAGACATGGTGACAGAAGCTGTAACTCTAGTTTATAGACGAGGTGACATAGAAGCTGTAACTCTAGTTTATAGACAAGGTGACATAGAAGCTGTAACTCTAGTTTATAGACAAGGTGACATAGAAGCTGTTACTCTAGTTTATAGACAAGGTGACATAGAAGCTGTAACTCTAGTTTATAGACAAGGTGACATAGAAGCTGTAACTCTAGATTATAGACGAGGTGACATAGAAGCTGTGACTCTAGATTATAGACAATGTGACAGAAGCTGTGACTCTAGTTTATAGACAAGGTGACAGAAGCTGTGACTCTAGTTTATAGACGAGGTTACTTAAAAGGTGTGACTAGTTTATAGACAAAGCTGTGACTCTAGTTTATAGATGAAGCTGTGACTCTAGTTTATAGATGAAGCTGTGACTCTAGTTTATAGATGAAGCTGTGACTCTAGTTTGTAGATGAAGCTGTGACTCTAGGTTAAAGATGGGCAAACAGGAAGAAACACGTCTTAGACAAGCTGCTGCTGCTGGGTTTAATCTTTTATGCTGCATAAATGTCAGTGCCTTGGAGGTATGTCACTTTACCTGCTGCAACCTGCACACAGCCTTAAAGCAGCCGTTATCTCTGCCAGGTGAGTTCTCTGTCTCTGTGATTGTAGTGACCTTTACAGCTTGTCTCTGCAGATCTGCTTCATATAAAAACTGTGAAAAACAGGTCACACCTGTGTCTTTGTTGTGTTTTGTAGGCGTCAGCTGAGTCAGCTGCTGGCAGTATGGAGGCTGAAGAGCAGGGTGGAGGTTTCACTGTGGCCGGCTGCTACCCATCACTGCAGGACCCTCTGCAGCACCACCACACAACCAGGTAAGGGTTAGGAGGTGTGTGACTGTAACGTCTGCAGCAGGTAAACAGACTGTAACGTCTGCAGCAGGTAAACAGACTAACGTCTGCAGCAGGTAAACAGACTGTAACGTCTGCAGCAGGTAAACAGACTGTAACGTCTGCAGCAGGTAAACAGACTAACGTCTGCAGCAGGTAAACAGACTGTAACGTCTGAAGCAGGTAAACAGACTAAAGTCTGCAGCAGGTAAACAGACTGTAACATCTGCAGCAGGTAAACAGACTGTAACGTCTGCAGCAGGTAAACAGACTGTAACGTCTGCAGCAGGTAAACAGACTGTAACGTCTGCAGCAGGTAAACAGACTAACGTCTGCAGCAGGTAAACAGACTAACGTCTGCAGCAGGTAAACAGACTGTAACGTCTGCAGTAGGTAAACAGCTTGTAACGTCTGCAGCATGTAAACAGACTGTAACGTCTGCAGCAGGTAAACAGACTGTAACGTCTGCAGCAGGTAAACAGGCTGTAACGTCTGCAGCAGGTAAACAGACTAACGTCTGCAGCAGTAAACAGACTGTAACGTCTGCAGCAGGTAAACAGACTGTAACGTCTGCAGCAGGAAAACAGGCTGTAACGTCTGCAGCAGGTAAACAGACTAACGTCTGCAGCAGGTAACAGACTGTAACGTCTGCAGCAGGTAAACAGGCTGTAACATCTGCAGCAGGTAAACAGACTGTAACGTCTGCAGCAGGTAAACAGGCTGTAACGTCTGCAGCAGGTAAACAGGCTGTAACATGTGTTTAACATAACAGCACGTAGAATAGACGGAGGCAGCAGGTTCTGTGTTCTGTGTCTTTAAATGTCTCTTTTCATCAGGGTCGGCGTCTGTGATGTTACCTTTGTTTCTGCCTCTTTTATTCTAAGAAAAGTATATAAGTAAATAAGTATTGGTACATTTAGTGAAACATTAACAAGTCAGCAGGTGTGAATCCACTTAAAGATCCCCACCCCTGTTTTTGTACCCCAGGAGACCCCATAGAGGTCCACAGGAGGAAACTGTTCCTGTGGTTCAGTCACCTACCCCAGGAGGAGAAACAGTTTGGGGGTTACTTTAGTCCAGAGACCATGCACGTGGACCCCCTGATCCTGGAGAGAAAGACCGAGGACAGAGCAGGTCTGCACTGCTCCCCACTCCAAACACAAGGTCCCTCCACACCCTCGATCACCGTGGAGCAGCTGTTTGACCCCGCCGCCTCCTGCTGCGAGGGCCGGGGCCTCAACGTGCTCCTGTACGGGGCTGTGGGGACAGGGAAGAGCACGATGGTCAGGAAACTGGTCCTGGACTGGTGCAGAGGGACCACCCTGACCCAGTTCAAGCTGCTGGTTCCTTTCTCCTGTGAGGACCTGGGACAGCTGGCAAAGTGAGAGAGGAGGTTATACGGTTTAAATAATGCAAATTACATAGAGTTAGATATTATAACTGAAAGATATTCAATATAATATAAGATAAATAATCATATTATATATCAGTAATATAAGAAGATCACTTACTGCATCGTAGGGTTCATCTGTAGCCCCTCCCCCCCACAGGGCCAGCTCCTTACGGGACCTGGTGAGCAGGAAGTACCTCCACCTAAGGAAGCACCCCCTGCTGAGCGGCGAGGGGGAACAGGCCAAGGACGTGCTCTTCCTCTTCAACGGGATGGAGAAAATGAAGCTGGACTTCAGGATCGGAGCCTCAGAGCTCTGCAGTGATCCCAACGAACCGCTGCCTCCAGGTGTGCTTGTGGTCAACCTGCTCAGGAAGTACCTGCTGCCTGAGGTGAGTCCCGAACCCAGAGTCATTCTGAGAGCTGATTGGATGGCCACATATGATCAGGTGTCTGTCATTGTGTAAAAAGCAGCCATGAGCGCCTCTAGTGGAGGTTTGCCCAAAGTGACTTTTTGTTTTTAATGTTGCAGCTCATCATACAAACAATTAATTCTCCTCAACTGGAGCGGTCACACAATATTTAATTTAACATCCAGAAAACATCCTTTAGCAGGGAGATACTGCTGCGTGTGTGTGTGTGTGTGTGTGTGTGTGTGTGTGTGTGTGTGTGTGTGTGGTGGCATGTTAAAACATATTTGGCAGCAGGATATGCCCTGTCTCCTTCTCCCAGGAGTATTTGTTTTTTGGAGAGCTCACTGAGCTCTTTTAAATCTGTGATGACAGAGTTCAACTTGTTAAAATAAAAGTTCCTTGTTTCATTAAACGTTTTACAATGTAGGAGAAAGTGCATCTCTGTCTCCACCTCACCTGTCCAACAGTGACCACATATTCTGTTTTCTTTTGGTTGCCATGGTTTTTGTGTCTTCCTGTCTGCTCATTCATCATCTTTGTTTAGGGCCGGATAACATTCCAATCTACTTTGGCTTTTAGTTTCTTCTTTCCAATGTTCCAGATTCTTTACATGTTGTTATGTGTTTGACTCTGATTGGTGTTTGAAGAGCAGTGTTGGTGTGAGGCTTCTCAGACTGGGTATGACAGGGGGCCGTTAGCCTCAGACTGGGTCTGACGGGGGTCCATTAGTCTCAGACTGGGTCTGACGGGGGACAGTTAGCCTCAGACTGGGTCTGACGGGGGACAGTTAGCCTCAGACTGGGTATGACGGGGGTCCATTAGTCTCAGACTGGGTATGACGGGGAACAGTTAGCCTCAGACTGGGTATGACGGGGGTCCATTAGTCTCAGACTGGGTCTGACGGGGGACAGTTAGTCTCAGACTGGGTCTGACGGGGGGCCGTTAGCCTCAGACTGGGTCTGACGGGGGACAATTAGCCTCAGACTGGGTCTGACGGGGGTCCATTAGTCTCAGACTGGGTCTGACGGGGGTCCATTAGCCTCAGACTGGGTCTGACGGGGGACAGTTAGCCTCAGTACTAACTGACATAGGGGACTCTTTTCTGGGCTCAGCTCTTGAGTCTGAAGGGCTTTGGAGTGGAGGGTGTCTGTGGGGCTGGATGTCAGGTGGTTCTAAAAGTTGAGTGTTCTCTTGTGAATGTTAATGATCAGAGGGTATCTGCCTAATTCTGCTCTGCATGCATGTGTTGGTGTGTTTCTGTGTACATGTAAAATGTGTCTGCAGAATTCAGCATGTAAAGATTCTGTCCCAACGTGTAAAGGTCTGATGACTGAGTGGACCCCATACTTAACTTATATTGGTCATCCTGTCTGTCACAGGCGAGCGTCGTGGTGACCACCAGGCTGTCCGCTCTGGACCGGATCCCTCAGAAATACGTGAGTCGTTATGCTCAGATCTGCGGCTTTAATGACCCGGACCGTCAGCGTGCGTACTTCACCAGCCGCCTCCTGCAGCAGACGGGTGAGACGGCACGAAACCACGAGGCTCAGGCGCTCATCGAGCTGCTGTACCTAAACCTGCAGAGAGAGAGCCAGCTGGGCGCCGCCTGCTTCCTGCCCTCCTACTGCTGGCTCACCTGTGCCACCTTACACTTCCTGCACTTCACCGACACTCAGGCGCCCATCCGCACGCTCACTGGCATCTACACCAGCTTCCTCAGACTCAACTTTGGGGGGGAGGTGCTTGGATCAAAGACAGGGACCAATGTTCAACTCCAGGAGAACCACAGTTCTCTGATGCTGTTCGTCGTCCGAACGCTTGGGAAACTGGCGTTTGACTGCGTGACGTACAAACGCACGTCGTTCTCAGAGAAGGAGCTGGAGCAGTGGATCGGAGGGGAAACCAAGACGGACGAGGAGCTGCGTCAGCTCACCATGTTCCGTACAGACGTGCTGGACTTCTTCCTGGCACCCTGCTTGGACAGCAGGAAACATTTACCCAAGGGTGACGGTGAGAACGACGAGCAGCGCTACGTCTTCGCTGTCCCAGCCATGCAGGAGTACCTCGCTGCGCTCTACGTGGTTCTGGGAGAGAACAAATCTGCTCTGGAGAAGCTGACCCGGCAGGTGTCTGTGGCCATCGGTCAGGCGAGCGAAGAGGTCAGCGCCGTTGTCAACATCTTCTCCAAGTTCATCCCTCTGAGGATCTTCGCGTTTTCAACCTCCTGAAGCTGTTCCCGAAGCTCTACAACAAAATCAGCGGCTACAACAAAGGAAGCATAGCCAGGACGATGGCGTCCGAGATGTTCCGCACTGAGGACAGTCAGAACGAGGACGTCTTGGACCAGGTGGAGCAAAGCCTGCTGGGAGTCCATGGGCCGCAGCTGCAGCAGTACAGTGAGGGTCAGCCCTTTGAGCTCTACCCCATCTTTATGGGAGGACTGTTGCATTATGAGAACCGTGTCCTCCTTCAGCAGCTGGGCTGCAGCATTCAGAGCACCACTGTGGTCCAGATCACCCGAGTGCTCAGGAAGTACCTGGTCAGAGGTAAATGCTGTTATTCTGAGTCCTGTTCGTGCCGCGTGCTTTGATTTTAAAAGGCGTGAACACAGTTTAAAAGACATATCAAATTTAAAGATGGTTAACGCCACAACTATCTCACAACATAAAACACTAACAGTGCATTAACCAAACAGGCGTGATACCCTGAGTGAGACGCTACTGTGACATCAGAACGAACAGACAAACCAAAAAAGACAGAAACAGAGGCTGCACAAAGATTGTCTATGAAGTTGATTCAACATCTTTGTTTTGAATGTGCTGAGCCTTGAATGTAGAAAACAAAAACAAAGATATTTAATCTAATTTTGTTCTAGAGATGAATGGAGAAAACAAAAACAAAGATATTTAATCTAATTTTGTTCTAGAGATGAGTAAACCTCAGCCCCCGGAGGAGCTCATGGACCTGCTGGTTCTCCTGTACGAGTTTCAGAACCCCAGACTGACCGCTGAGGTTCTGGCCTCTATCAGGACCATCCGCCTCACCAACATCCGAATGACGTCTCTCAAGTGTTTCATCCTGAGCTCCGTGCTCTCATGCACACCTGCCAGGTACACTGTGGGCTCACACCTGTACAGCTGGGTGGTAATTAGTGGTTCTGAAGTGTCTGTGTCATCTGCTGATTGGTTAAAATTAGTCATCAGCTGATTGGTTCATAACAATGGTTTATTACATTTTTATTAACCAATCAGCTGTATGGGTGTGGCCCTGTTCGTTCCTTTAAAGGTGCTTTATATAAATAAAGTAATTATTATAACTCATGCGACACATCCTTAGGTGTGTTTTCTGTCTCTCTGTAGTTATCACCTGGACCAGATGGACCTGTCCTCGTGTCTCCTCACTCACGACCATCTGCAGACGCTGCGACCCGCCTTTAGACACGTGACCGACCTCAAGTGAGACTCTGACCCTGTGTGTGTGTGTGTGGGGGTCTATGTCTATGTGTGAATGTGTGTGTGTTTGTGAGTCTGTGTTATTGTGTGTGTGTGTTTGTTTGTGTGCGTGTGTGTTTATGTGTGTGTGATGAAATATTTGTAACTTCAGTCTCAGATTGTTAATCTTCTGCAGTATGAGCCTTGAGGTTCGATGACCCCCTGCTGATGCAGCGTGTGTGTGTTGTGTTTGGATGTGTGTGTGTGTTTATGTGTGTGTGTGTTTGTGTGTGTGTGCGTGTGCGTGTGCGTGTGTGTGTGTGTGTGTGTGTGTGTGTGTGTGTGTGTGTGTTGCATGTGTGTGTGTTTGCATGTGTGTGTGTGTGTGTGTGTGTGTGTGTGTTTGCATGTGTGTGTGTGTTTGCATGTGTATGTGTGTTTGCATGTGTGTGTGTGTGTGTGTGTGTTTGCATGTGTGTGTGTGTGTGTGTGTGTGTGTGTGTGTTTGCGTGTGTGTGTCTGGTCCTCAGCCTGCAGTTTAACAGCCTTGGTCCTGAGTCCTGCATCCTGCTGAGAGATCTGCTGCTCGACCCAAAGACCTCCATCAGATTTCTACAGTAAGACTTTTTCAACCAATCCTCTCTGTTAGCGTACCAGAGGACTCGTTTCCTTTCTCCGCTTCCTGAAACCCGCCCCTCCACCTGTCAGTCTCCTGTCTCCAGACTGTCCTTACCTTCTCAAACAGGTTCAGGTCAGGTTTTTTCTGATAAATCTACTAAGAGATAAAGTGACGTATTTGACCCGTGTCTTTAAGGTCACTCAGCGTTTGGGTCATGTGATCGTGAATCAGGTGTTCACACTCACAGGGACTCTAAAGGTTTTTTAGGAATCTGAAGGTCTCTATTACTTTGTGTTGGAAGACTAGACGATGCACGATGATGAACTGATGGAGGTCGTATTTTTTCTGTTTGTCGTCATGGAAACAGGAAGTGCATGATGACAGCTGTCGAGCTGACCGTAATAACTTGACCTTTAACTGACCTTTAACCTTTAACATTTCATTAAATCACTGCAACGTCCCCAAAAAAGAGTTTAAAGTGAATCAGTCAACTCTGAGCTGTCAAACGATTCACTCGTTAAAGCTGACTGATGATAATATCAGATATCTCTGTCTCTAAATGTTATTATTATACTCTACATGATGTTATTATACTCTAAATGTTATTATTATACTCTACATGATGTTATTATACTCTACATGTTATTAGACTCTACATGATATTATATAGTATGTCTCTGCATGATACATGATGTTATTCCTCTAATCTGCATGCTGCAGCATGTTTCTTGTTGCAGGAGAACTTTTAGGAGCTATGAACAGAAATCCTTGATTCTTTATTATGACTTTGAACGTTGAAGGTGTCATCCCATGAGGCCTGTTTTAATTTAAATATCAAACATGACGAGTAAACCAAAACTAAACATAAGCCATGAATCAGTGAACTGTCACCTGGCAGAGGGTTTTTATTGTGAAGCAGCTGCAGGAAGTACATAAATCACAGAAACTAATTTCATAGAGACTCATGAAAAAACCTCAGACAGAACTTCACTTTCGGTTCAGACAGACTGAAGGTTTTTCTAGATCCAGCGGCCTCTTTGTGCTGTCGTCTGTTTGGTGTCTCATTACCCCCGTGTGATATTTCTGCAGACTGTGTGACAATCCTCTGCTGGAGTCGGGGGCCCGCACCCTGCTGGAGGCCCTGCCAGAGAACCAGAGCCTGACCCACCTGTCACTGATGCACACGGGACTGGGGGACGCGGGGGCCCTGGAGCTGGCTGACCGGCTGCAGAAACATGCAGGGCTGCAGGAGCTGAACGTGGCATACAACAATATCGGGGACAACGCCGCCCTCGCTCTGGTGGACGCCTGCAGGGAACATCCCAGCATCCACACCTTGCAGTGAGCAGACCTGCGAGAATCGCATTTTCTAACCGGATAATTCTGAAATGTATTTTTATGAGCTCAGAGAGACTGACTGATCTGGTGTCTGTGTGCAGTTTGTACCTGAACCCTCTCAGCAATGTGGGGAAGCAGTCCCTTTATGTACGAGGCGTTCCAGAGAGTCAGGGGGGCAGCGGGCGGCGGGTCCGAGTCCTGGCCTCAGTCACCGAAGGTTCTGACCTGTCAGAGGACTGGCACCCGATCCTCAGCGTGATCCGAGAGAACGCGTCCTCCTGGGACCGAGAGCGGGTCGAACAGCAGCTCAAGGTAAAATCAGGGAGAGGGGGGTGAAGGGGATTTATGAAGGAGAGAGGATTGAAGTACGTCTACAAGCTGGTGAGGGTCACTGTCTCTGAAGGACTTGTCAACATGTTCAAGGTTTTTAGCTGCAAACAAACAGGTTTGTGCTGCAAGACAAACAGAATGAGTCAGGGATGTAAAGATGAATCGTATATATACATGATGATGATAAATCAATTCAAAGGAGTCAAGGTTCACATCGGTACTCTGAAAAATGAAACAATAATATGGTTAGCGTCAGCAGATGCAGAGCAAGATTTAGAAATTGAGGACGCACCACCATCTTTTAAATTGGAGGTGTGGAAGCATTTTGGCTTCCCCGAGACAGAAAAGAAAAGGTGAGAAGATAACAGACGAGACAAAAACTGTGAGCAAAAGAAGACAGGGAAGTACACAAAGAGCACAACCAACATGATGCAGCATTTAATCATCAATCACCTCCCCTTGTTGAGAGAAAAAAAACGATCAAACCACTCTGACGATCAGGTTAGAGCCCCTAAAGGAATCTGTTTCAGTCATCCTCTGTCTACTGTCTCATTTTGTAAAATAAGAGAGAATGGTATCGTGAATCGTGTCTTGAGTTGTGTGAATGGTTACATCCCTAGTATGGCTGCATTTTGCCCCTAAAAGTCTCAGGCTCCACCTCCTCTGTGCAGGTGTTCCTCAGGGACCTGGAGTGGGGCCGGCAGCAGCAGCAGAGTCTCTGGAAGAGGCTTCACTTCCGTCGGGTGGAGAAAGGAGTCCGACAGACGTTACGGATGCTGGAGAAGGACAAACTACCTCCAGCCAGAAAGTAACCAGGAGAAAATTAATCAGCAGAGAGACTTTCAGACCTCCACAGTCTCTAAACTGGTCCAGGTCCATGGCCACGTCAGTTTCAGACTTCAGACCCAGAACATTAGCTGACCTCTGATCAGCTGATTATCAGCTGAGTGTAATAAAAGTGAGACTGTGTGATAATAAAAACGTTTTCATTTAAAGCATCATCAATAAAAGTCTCTGAGATAAATCACAGCTCCTGACTCTTTTCTTCTTCTCCAGCTCATAGGGAAAGATTTTATTTTTTATTTGAATGAAAGACCAACGTTAGAGCTTTTTATGACCGACATGTCACTTAGAGGAGGACCCTAATCAGAGTAGGACCCTAATCAGAGTAGGATCCTAATCAGAGGAGGACCCCAACTCAGAGGAGGACCCTAATCAGAGTAGGACCCCAACTGAGAGGAGAAGCCTAACTCAGAGGAGGACCCAAACTCAAAGGAGGACCCTAACTCAGAGGAGGACCCTAACTCAAAGGAGGACCCTAACTCAGAGGAGGACCCTAACTCAGAGGAGGACCCTAATCAGAGGAGGACCCTAACGGAGAGGAGTACTGTTAGTACGAATTTTCATGAAATTCATTAATCTTGTAACTTCGTGAAATGTATTAATCAAGTCTGCCTACCACCTGTTAACACTCCTACCTTTAGGTGTCTGAAGCTGTAACCTTATATGAGCGAAGCACCTAAGTAGTAGCAGATCTATGTTTGGATAGGAGCCAAGCATATGTTGTCAGCAACTGTTTGCTAGACAGAGAGTCTACAGTTGTTACGTATACAAATCAGTGTCATGTCATCTTTATTGTTTTATGGTGATGTACCCAAATGGAAAGGAATTTGGGGGTTGCACCTTTTTGACAGAATATAAGCAGCACTGTGAACACTGTTACTTTGTCAGCACTTTGTCAGTCAAGTGATTTGGAAGCATGCTTGTTTGATGAAGTTGTCTGACCTCGGCCGATTAAAGGGTGTTATAATCTCCAGTCTGTTTCACGATTTCTTCATTGGATTTATACAAACAGAAACAACCCTCACCTAACAAGCTCCCAGTTACTGCTCGCATCAAATTTAAAACTCTGCTGCTCGCTTACAAAACAGCAACAAAAACGGCTCCTCCTTACTTTAACTCTTTCATCCAGGTCTACTCTCCCTCCCGCCCACTACGCTCTGCCAATGAAAGGCGTCTGATCCAATGAAAGTACCCTAATCAGAGGAGGACCCTAACGGAGAGGAGTACCCTAATCAGAGGAGGACCCCAACTCAGAGGAGGACCCTAATCAGAGTAGGACCCCAACTGAGAGGAGAAGCCTAACTCAGAGGAGGACCCTAAAGGCCTTTTCACATTGAGTCCGGTTTTTCCGGATGCGTTTCCAAAGAAACGTTACGCACAGACAGCTTGCACACTGAGTCGCTGCGTTTATTTTTCTACTACTTCCGAAAATTTGCAGTATGAGACACAATGCCTCGTACGCAAGGCTTTGATATTTCCTCCCACATATCCCAGACTGTTGGATATTTCCTCCCTCATATCCCAGACTGTTGGATATTTCCTCCTGATATTCAGATTTATTAAGGGAGTCGGTTTGGGACACACTTTTGATAATCTTGAATATTCCATTTATTGCCTCTTTCCTAGCAATCTTAAATTACCCAGCAATCGGTATCCTTCTTTTGTGTTTATACTCGTTCTCATTACGCACAGAGATCAAGTGTTGAATATGATGATCCAGTTCTTTCACTCCTTGAAAAAAAAACAACGGGCTCCGTTCACATGACAACAAGACAAGAGCGAGGAAAGTTTCACGTGTCGATAAAGGAGCTGCAGAATTATCCCGCTCACTTCCAGATGTGTTTCAGGATGTCAGTGATCCAGTTTGATACGCTGCTCTCTCCCAACTGAAACCGCACAATAAGAAGAACACCAACTTCAGAGAAGCATACGATCCTGAACAACAGCTGTATGTTTGAGGTCAGGAAACAGACACACACAGACAGTGTGAATCAGAAGTCTTAAAGGAGTTTGAAGAAGTCAGATTAAAATGAACTCAAGAAAAAACTTGTCTGTAACAGATTCTGTTCAGGAGCATTTAAAAAGAGGGGACTGACCTCCTTGGACAGGCCGGTCCAGTTTGACCTCCTCTGTGGAGGATCTGGATGTTCCAGTTGGCTCATGTAAAGGTCAGATATGAAATAAAGTTATGAAGCTGGAATCAGTCTTCAGATCAATCCTGAAACACACGGGGAGCCGCAGAGACGCTAAAACAGGAGTGATGTGGTCATGCTTTCCTGTTCTGCAGCTGAGTTCTGACCTGAGTCGATCTGTAGACTTCTGCTCGAGGCAGAAAAGAAGTCGAGACGTGATGAGATGGAGGCGTTGAAGCGTGGAAGTTTTTAAATATTTCTGAGATGAAAAAAAAATGTCGTGTGAAGTTCAAAATCCAACCACTCAGATTTTCTACAAGTCTGATGTAGTTCAAAGAGGAACCAGCAGATGGCAGTATGACTCTGACAGTTTTTTTACGATTGCTATGACACTTCGTTCAATACTTTGAACAATTTTCCTAAACTCTTTACACAGTTAGCACAACATCCGTCCCTGAAGGCTTTGCAATAATAAATTTCTTGTTGCTTTGACACAAAATACAAACATTTAACACAAATTGAAAATGCTTTAACTTCTTTTACACACAAGTTCAACCAAGACCAAAACAATGGATTGTCAGAACAGATAACATCATGTTCAAAACCTAACCTATAGGCTAAAGTCTAAGTGAACAGCTGTTGAATGTTGTAGATTCATGTCGATTTGCCCTGTACAACATCAGGAAGATCAGACCTTACCTGTCAGAACACGCTACACAGCTCCTGGTACAGGCTCTTGTGATATCACGCATCAATTATTGCAACTCTCTACTTGCAGGTCTTCCTACATGCACTATCAAACCTCTGCAAATGATACAAAATGCAACAGCACGACTGGTCTTCAACCTTCCTGAAAGAGCACATGTCACTCCACTGTTCATCTCCTTACACTGGCTCCCAGTTACTGCTCGCATCAAATTTAAAACTCTGCTGCTCGCTTACAAAACAGCAACAAAAACGGCTCCTCCTTACTTTAACTCTTTCATCCAGGTCTACTCTCCCTCCCGCCCACTACGCTCTGCCAATGAAAGGCGTCTGATCCAACCTTCACAACAGGGTCCTAAGACGCTGACTAGACTCTTCTCCTCTGTCCCCCCCCGGTGATGGAATGAACTTCCAAACTCCATTCGATCTGCAGAGTCCCTCTGCACCTTTAAGAAAACGCTAAAGACCCAGCTCTTTCATGAATACCTACTAACTTAATGATGATGGTCTCCATATTATTGATGATGATGATGGTTGTCACGATTGTTTTTGTTTGATAACGATGACTTATAAGATGGTTTCTATACTGATTAGAGCTCTCAAGAACTGCCGTCAATGTTGTGCTTTGCCTCTGTGCAATGCCTGTCAGCACCTGTGTGTCCAATCGGACTCAAAGCTGATTGTTTGCTCTTACTGACATTGTTCCCTTTTTTCTAGATCCTTGCTTGGGTTGTACTTACTCTCTGATGTATGTCGCTTTGGATAAAAGCGTCTGCTAAGTGAATTGTAGAATTGTAGAATTGTAGAAAGACGAGTACCAGGACAAGGAAGAGCAAGATGAGTACCAGGACAAGGGAGAGGAAGACGAGTACCAGGACAAGGGAGAGGAAGACGAGTACCAGGACGAGGGAGAGGAAGATTTGTCTCATGCTCAACAGATGTGCAGTGAAATGTAAAGACTGTTCCGCAAGGTCATAAAATAAACACTCAAAAATTACTACAGTAATACACATACAGGAAATGTAAAAATATACTGTAAGATAAGATCAAAAATGAAAAGTATAAATATTCAAAATGTGGAAAATGTAAACATTGTAATGAGTAGAGTATCAGCGTATAAAGTGTCCAGGGTGTCAAAGTGCAGAAGAGTACTAGGACATGGGAGAGGAGGGGGACAACAGCGAGGCAGGGGAATAGGGAGGAGGTACAGTACCTAGCAGATCTCTTCTGGCAGAGATGGATTAGAGAATATCTTCCAATCATACAACAGCAAAACAAGTGGCTCCACCCCAAAAGGAGCCTTTGCCTGAACAACCTTCTCGTCATAGTGGACAACACAGCACCCAGGAGCTCTCTGTGTTGTAAAGACATTCCAGGGGTCCAAAGGGTTTGTCCAGAGCGTCTTTGTGAAAACCAAGAGCAGCATCTTTCAGAGACCTATTGACAAGCTTTGCCTGCTCTTGGAGGCAGTTCATTAATTACAAAGGGGGCTTTGTGCTTTTGTTTGAAGCCATAACAGCCTAGACGAGGAGAAGGTAGAGGGAGAGGAGTTAGTTTGTTGTGGATTTTTCTGTTGGTAGTGAAAGATCTCAAGTCAAAGTCTTTTGTCTTTGTGTATTTTATTTCATATAGTAAAGTGTTCTTTTGCAAAAGGGGTAATCAGCTATAAAAGTAACATCAGTCACAAGTGCATTAAAGATTCCCGGGGCAGTCCCGGTTGCATGAGTGTGTAGGTATATTACATATACATGAGTAATACATCGTCATTGGTTTCAGCTTGCCCTAGTGACTACGCCTTCTACTAGTTTGCCTGATGATTTATCAATGCAAGTTTTTTTCTATAAGGTACCTGGTACGGAAGAACACCAACAGAAACTCCTTTTTCCGGAGGGCACTGATTTAGGATCATGCTGTACTCAGATAATGAGGAGAGTTCAAAGGCCATACAGAGAAACAGTTTTTAATTGCTAAATGACGCACAAACATCTAAATCTTTTAAGTTCAAACGAAGACGACAGACAGATAGTATTTTTCCACTACAAGAATGTGAGGTGGCGCTCAAAGAAGGACCAGAGATAGGGTAACTGATTGAAGAGCTACTATCATAGACCATGTCATAAACCGGGTTATCATACAGAGAGGCTGGTGAAGGAGTTCAGCCAAATCTCAGCCGGGACACAGTGGCATCCATTTTCCAGGGTTAATGGATTGGTGGGTCACCTCAGGATTCAGGCTACGTGCTACGTACTATGGGTGAACGTATTGCATAATTTCCTGTTCTGTTCTGTGTTGTTCTGTGTTGTTCTGTGTTCTGTGTTGTTCTGTGTTGTTCTGTGTT